AACCATGCAGTATTTTTAGTAGCTTTGTTATAAAACATTGTCTAAATCTGAAAACAAACTGGTCTATGAGGAATTAAATCTTAGAAATATTCTCTTGATTCTATACACAGAAAATTCTATTTTCCAAAACTAAATTTAATAAAACATAATTTCCTATTTCAGCTCTGCTTAAATTCTGTCCAAGTATTTTTAAACCATAAGCACAGATCTGGGTAAAAGAAAACCTATGTAGTTAGGTGGGGGGCACAAGGTCCCAGCTCCAGGGAGGCTGAGAGAGGACTGAGTACTGAGCAATAGCTGTGATGAGGCAAAGGAATGGAGAAAAGCTATCAGTAAACCAGTCCACTGATGGTAATGCAGTCAGTGTGCTAGTTAGGTACCTTAGTCACCTGTATCTGTGTGATTCTCTGTCCCAGAGGAACTCCTGATACGGTTCTTCCTATACTAAGATTACCAGAGGATGCTTTCTAACAAAGCAGATGCCTAGCTGCCACTTTACAGGCCTGGAGTGTCAGACGTGTCTCAGGGCTTGCGCAGTTAATGCATTTCCTGTGACTGTCAGGAATCATAAAACCTGAAAACCAATGATCCACACAAAGGGATCCTACTTAACAAATATAGGAAATGTTAAAGGTCACACTAAAGCTTTGTAGCAGCACATAATGTAAACACATCCTACTAACTTCCTAATGTTTTAGAGCCAAGTAACTCTTACTATCCTAGTTTAACTTCAGGATCAGAAATCTAAGAGGCCTAACAGTCCTTAAATTCCAGGCCTTTGATTTAATCAGTTGCTGATAGCATTCATTAAATCCAACAGTGGCTATCGTAAGAATGTAAAATGGCAAAAGGAAGCCCACTGGAAATGAAATGACAGAAAAAATCTTGTTAATGAGGTTAATAGGAATATGCAGGTCACTAAGGAAGAAGCTACTGAAAATGTTTCGGAAGCAATCAAGAGTGTTCTCTGTAGACATGCCCATAGATAAAACAATGATAAGCTTATGGAAAGAAAAAGGAGTCTTTTCCATCTGTTTTAGTTTGCTGAGGGTACTAGGAAAAAAAAATGACGTGGACTGGGGAATCTATTATTCTTCACCGTTCTAGTGGCTGAGCACTTGAAGATCAAGGTGTTAGCAGGTTTGGTGCCTGGTAAGGGCTTGTTCTTTGCTTCCTGATGATGACTTTTTGCTGCTCCATCTTTCAACACAAGTACTCTGTGCAATCAAGATTAAGTTTCTGCATGAATTCTGCAGGGACACAAACCTTCATACCACAGCACTGTACTTTAAACTTCTGTTACTCTGTTGTGACCTTTTATGCTTATGAGAGAAACTTTGTACATGGCATCCCCCAGGGCCTCAAACAATGCCAGGCATATGAAAAAAAAAATATTTCTTGAAAAATGCATGAGAGAAAATATCTGTAACTTGTAAAGCCAATTACTGGTCTCTCAGAAAGATAATGACAATGATGGTATCACTCATTCAACAGCTTCTGCAATGAAGAAGACTATGTGCAAGTGGTCCTCAAACTTAGGTATGCACACACGAATTACTTAGCAAACTTGCTCATGAGATCTAAGAAACTGTGTCAGGACAAGTACCACATAAAAGGTCACTTTCTTACAGGATCATTACCACTATATTGCAGGAGGTGTCACAAGTCCCAAGAATATAATAACATCTGCTGTGCTCTACACATGTCCCTCCACAATTCAGACAGAAAACTAATCCCCACCACAGTGGTATAAGGTGACAGGAAATTAACCAAGCCGCAAGACTGACCTCATCAGTGAGACCAGTGCCCTTATACAGAGAGTTGCCTGTCTCTTTCACTATGGGAGGATACATCGGTGCCACCCATGAGGAACAGGCCCTCAACTGATACACACTCTGCTGGCATCTTGACCTCTGACCTCCCAGCCTCCAGAACTGTGAGCAATACATTTTTACTGTTAATGAATTATCCAGTCTAGCTGGGTATGGTGGTGCATACCCATAATCCCTGCACTCAGGAGGCTGCGGCGTGAAGATGACTGAGTTTGAGGCCACCCTGAGCTACTTAGTGAGTTCAAGGCCAACCTGATCCACATAGTAAGATGCAGTCTCAAAAAAGTAAAAACAAAAACAAAAGAAAAGAATTACCTGAAGTGTTTTTATTGTAGCAGCCCAAGCAGACAAAGATGTACCATATGGTACCAGTAAGTCTCACCAGCTGCCAGATCTACCCTTCCCCTCATTTAATCCTTTAAGACTCCTTTCTCTGCTTTACCAATCTAACACATCTCAAATTTCAGCTGAAATCTCTTTATGTTCTCTTAATATAAAGGATGACCAAAAATACAGTGAATGCTTGTTTTTTAAAAATTTACTACTTATGTTTTAAAAATTTAAAACATACATTTCCATTAATTCTCCTCCAGATACTCCCATGTGGTTCAAACTTGCTTATTCGCATTGTTTTTGCCACTTTCTGAAGCAGTTCTGGACTTTCTCTTCCATGTCTTTAGTTGCATTATCATGGCTGCTTTGGTGCCCAGAATACATTCAAAACATTTACTATGCATGGACCTTTCGATGCTGGGGAAGAGCCAGAATTTGGATGGTACCAGATCTAGCGAATAAGATGGATTGGGACACACTAGTGTTTTTATGAGCATGCCTTCTAGAAGTATTCACTGATTTTTTTATCACATCTTGTAAAGCCATGAAAGAAGACTTGCGAAACTGCTTCCGAAAGTGGCGCGAATAATGAGGTAAGTGCGTTTGAAGTGAGGAGGGCATATTTTGAAGCAGATTAATGGCAATGTATCTTTTATGGTAATAAATACTAAATTTAAACATTTGCCATATATTTCAATCACACTTGGTAGTCAAGGTTTGTAGCAGTAACACAGAAGAGAGTATACACACTGTCCTCTCTTAAGAGATTTTTGCGTTTTTACCAAACTTATCTGTTTTCTTCCTCTATTATACTGCTTTTTTAGCTATTCTGGGGAATGAACCCAGGGCCTCTGCATTCATGAACTGTAGTATCTTCAGCCCTTTACTTATTTATTTCAAGAACCTGTCTCAAAATGAAACATTAAAAAGGGTCGGGGATGTAGCTCAATGGGAAAGGCCCTGGATTCAGTTTCCCAGTACCACCAAATCAACTGATTAATGTACTCACTTCTTATAATTTGGTACATATCCTTTTAAACTTTGATGTATGAACATACTTTCACATGCTTTTAATTTAGAAGAAGAAATCAAAGCAATCAACTGCTTAACTCATTTACATTATATTACAAATATCTTGTGGTACCTAAGATTTTTTCTTTTTAAAATTGTATTGTATACTGTACAAATAACAAAAATTTACAATATGCTAGAAAAAACTGTTTTTCTCTTACTCTCTCATGATACTTCTGATACCAAACTTCAGATGTTTTTCTATACCAAGCAATTCTCTAAATGAATCTTCTATAATCCAGTTAAATTCTCATACTAACTACACCTGGAGGTAGTTTCCTATCCCACAAGTTCAAGACTGAATCTCGTTAGAATTCCTACTTCAGACACTAAAAAAAGGTCCGTCCGTATTGTGAAATGTGCTTCTGATGACCAGTTCCCACCTTTACTATGAGCTGGATAATTTGTGAAGATGGCTCATAGTATTCAAGGAAACACTTTACTAACATTTACTGACTTATTACCAAGGATACTGATGAACATCAAGATGAACAAATGCACCTGGAAAGATGCAGGAGGAGGAGTTGAGCTCCCCCATCCTCTCTGAGACCACCGTCCCAGTATTCTATCCATATGCCCAGCATTCAGAAACTCATCAGAAATCTGGTCCAAGAGCTGTTACTGAGCGTAATTTCTAGCACCTGCCACTGCCCTCTTTCTGGAGTCTTATGAGTAGGGTTGAAATATCCACTCTGGAAGCCCTTGGTCTTTGACTGATCCCATCTTGAGTTATCACTGAAGTAGCAGCATTCAAAATCAACTATTTTGCATGAACCTTGATGCTCTCAAAAGGTTTAAAAGATACCTTATTGCTTAGGAAGTTCCAAAGGCTTCAGAGGCTAGATAATAGGAACCAGAGATAAATATCAAATAAATTATACCACAAATATCCTGTTCAAATTTTTTAGCCTTCTAAAATCATGAATGATGCTACAATGTGTCTACCCATGACACATTTCTGCATGCCCCTACCGATTTCCTTAAAATACATGTCTAGAAACAAATCAGATGTTGAAGCCTGTGTTGTCCAATATGGTATTTACTAGCCAAACTATTTAAATAAAAGAATATTTATAGTTTTTCAACTGTACCAGCCATATTTCAAGTGCTCAACAGCCCGATTTAGCCAGTGACTAAACAGTACATTACCTTCCTTAAAATCAGCTACGGAATAAGAGTTAGAACAATGGATCCCTGGTTTGGAAGGGGAAAAGGAATGACTGGTGAATGCACACAGGGGAGCTTCTGATATAATGTAAATGTTCTACACTTTGATAGGGATGTGACCTGGACCTGCAAGAACTGATACACTATTTTATATGTAAATTATACTTTGATGTTTTTTTTAAAGGAGGGGGCAAAAAAGCAAGAAATATTGTGATAATAAAACATTGAGTTTTTAGGCAATACAATAATTATCTTAAAATATTTATAGAACTTAAAAAATGATTTCCCACCTTTTTTTTTTTTTTTTTTAAAGAGTTACTAGTACTCTTTTTTTTTTTTGTCTTTTTCATTTTTATTGGTACCAGGGATCGAACTCACTACCACCTGCTTGCAAGGCAGGTGCTTATGCCACTGAGCTAAATCCCCAGCCCCATGATTTCCCACCTTAGCAGACCAAAATGCTATACTAAATTGAGTGTAAGAACAGTATGCACTATCTTGAGCCAAACTGTTCAACAGTTAAATCCTGATGGCACTAGAAAACTGACACTATCAGGGCAGTGCTTATTAAAGTACCAGAAACGGCTAAATATTTACCTGTTTCTCTTCATCTGGCATATTTTTTTCCAGTTCTATTAAATATTCTTCATCTAGTTCAGATGAATTCACTTCGTCCTCAGCTTTGTTCTGAATCTTGTCCACTCCTGATTCCTCCTCAAATGAGGCACTGCAATCATGAAAACATTCTTCTTCTCCCTGGTCCTCATCATCCTTGAGCAACTTGCTCTGGGAATGCTGATCTTTGGGATCGGGAATGGCAGGCCTGGCACACTCTGCTTCCTGGGGCTCTGTAATCTTCAAGCCACTGAACAGATCTTCTGGAACCTTACAGTTCTCTGACTTCTCCATACTGAATTCAGTTAGTGAGGTGAGGCTGAAGCTCTAGGAAAGAAAAAAGTATTTATTAATGTACTTACATTAAGAAGAAATTCTGCCTTTCATATCTGAACAAACCTCTGCATCAAAGTTCAATACACACTCTAACTTCCTTCTGTTGGTAATCATTACATAGTAAATGGATTATCATTCACAATCCCGTAACTAATGGCAAACCTTATTTTAATGGATACACCTTTCATGAAAGCTGATACCCACACGACTTATGAGCAACCAAGGAGAAACTTGATTTTTTTTTTTTCCCTCTTGGTGCTGCCTTTCACTGGCCTGTACCTCTAGCTCCTAACGAGACCGATTTGAAGGTGACTCTTCCATACTCCAAGCTAAGATTTTGTCCAGGTAGGAAAAAACGCGGGTGGCGAGGAAAGAGGGTGTGGCGGGTTGGGAAAAGAAAGCCAGGTTAAAACAGTAGCAAGAAAAATGAAATGGTCCTGGTCCTAACTTTTACTCAGAATGAATGACCACGTCGTGAATAGACACTTCCGTCTTGGCCAGCACCACCTCCCGAAGCTCTGAAGTAAGTTTTTAGTTGAGCTCAAAATAGGATCTGTGCCAACACGGTGATAATTGATTTCATAGAAATGCGCACGATAAAACCAAAGGAGCTGAGGGAGGAAGGCCAGCCCAGGAACAGGTAGTCCTAATCAGGATCCTAGTGCGGGCCAAAATCCGGCACTTAGGAGAGTGGCTCTCAACTTTCGCTGCATAGTACCACTTGGACGGGTTTGGAAAATACTGCCGTCTGGACCCTGTCGTGTTTCTGCTTTTACTGGTCTGGAACCGGGCCAGGGCACCTGTAGTTTAACGTGCTGAGTCAGACCATCCGCAGTCCCGCCCCTCTGGTCACAGCAAAATCACGCCAATGACCCGTGCGTGTGTCGCCACAACAATCCGAATTCACCCTAGCCTGTTTCAAGAAAAGGGAAAGCACCAAGGGACTAATACGAAGCCTTCGCCTCTAAGCAATGTCTTATTTCTCCTCACCCCCAGACCACGTAGAAGAACACAGGAGCTTGAGGACCCAGAGTTAGAGAAGTATTAACCTGCGCTTCCCAGCACGGTTCTCCCCCATCTACGTTTCTCACTGCCAAACCGTCAGACCTACCGCATTACCCACTGCCTCACAGCTTTCTGCTTTCACCTTCCAAACCCGTGAGAACTACTTCCGCTCAATCAGACGCACTTCCGTTGGCGTCCACTAAAAGCGACATCTTTGGCAAAGCATCCTGGGAAATGTAGTGGTCGACGCAGGGAGACTGGGCGTAGAAATCGCTATGTGACGTAATTGTACGGACAAAATAAATGAGTGACGGCTGCCATCTTGAGTTACGGCAACACTCCGCATTATTAGTACAAAAGAAACAGTCTGTCCCTATCGCTTTATTCTTCACCTTGAGCTTTCTCGTGCTAGCAATATATAGAAGAACTCCGAAACATAATAAATAGTTTTTTCCAAGATCCAGCTTTTTTTTTTCCTCCAGTCGTTCTCAAAATTCCTTTCAAGGGATCCACCGCAGGAATTATTTATGTCATGCCTCCTGGTGTACACATTATTGTTGATGAAGATCTCAAATATGACCATGATTATCATCAATTATTAGGAGCAATACTAATTTTACTATTGCTATTGTTCTTAGTGATTATTAATGCTATTAATAGAATTAACATTTGTGAAGATTTCATTCATCCCCCTAGAAGACTGACAGCCAAAGTTTGTTGGAAGAATGGATGCTGCATATGAATGGATGCTAAATATGATGCTAAATACTGGGACCAGTGGTGGTAAGGCAGGAGATTAGGGTTTGGTGAAATCAGGGGTGAGCTACCAGCATGACCTATCAGTCATGGAGAACAGTTGAATCACGGCCAAGATGCATGCTCAGAGCAGCTTAAACAAACAAACAAAAAAAACCCACACACAAAAAAAAACAGCTTCAAAATCCTGCGTGGGTCAGCCAGGATATGACATCAAAAGAAGATTAAAAAAAAAAAGACACCAACCCTGGGCCTCCTTGCCCCTGCTCTTCTGTTTGCACAGTGGCCCATCCTGTGTGCAGGTCATGTCTTCTGTTTTTCTACTTTTCCTCCCAATAAACATTAAACTGTTACTTTTATCAGTTGTCTCCAGTTCTTTGAATGAGACAAGAGTCTGAAGCCAACACACACCACAGGGACCAACAACAGTGTGTAGGTATAGCAATGAATCAAGAACGCAGCAGGAGAGCTAGGCTTTTCTTTCAGGGGGAGAAACTCATAGGTTTGTTGATGACAAATGTTCATTCTGCAATCATTAACTCATTTTATCTGTGGTCTGCTCTGTGCTGGGAACAGGACAAGGACTAGAGGGAAATAAGCAAGTCTCAAATGGCTGAGAATGGTGGAGGATACAAGAGGAGAATCTTCTTCCAGGGTGATCCCAGGGTCACTAGCATGATAACTGGATGGCTATTCAGACAGTTAAGAATGTGAATTGTGGGAGGTAGGCTGGCACTAGGGATAGGATCATCAAGAGTCCAAGGCCAGCCTGACTACATAGAGAGTTCAAGCCAGCCTGAGTCACTAGCAAGAACTTATCTCAAAAAAAGAAAAAAAAAAGTAGATTACAGAGAATCTGGAGTCTGTTGACCCGGGTTTGAGTCCCTGTTAACCAGCTATGTGATCTTAGACACATCACCAAACCTTGACAATGTAGCATGGATATCATAGTGATACCTACTCCATAAGGTTTTATGAAATTTAAATGAAATAATGAACTGAAAGTCCTTAGTACAGACATTAGCAGACAATATTAAAAAGCACATAACTTTTACTTAAAATAAATTGCTCATGTGGACAATCTGTAGGCAGAGATGAATGACACTTGCCATCCTGGGTGACTTATTACACACAGGCTGTGCTAGTGTTCAGGATGCTCTGTGCATCTGAGCCCCCTGCAGGTAGAGATTTAAGTTTGTGCCAGACCTGCTCAGACCCTGTTGTCCTCAAAGCGGATGCGCTTATACACTAGGCTTGCTGACCCTGACCCTGGGCTCCATTTCCCCCTTTATCCCCAGAGATGGGGTTCCTGAGTTTCCCAAGTCCAATCCTTAGAAACAGTCGGGATGCTACAAGAATTCTTTGAGAATTATATGTATATCCTGAATTTCTATACTGTTTCCAAAAGATCTACTGTTTTTTTTTTTTTTCTACTTTTAGTCTTTGGATTGGGATTTCAATTAGGAAACGTAATCAAAAGTTAACCTTCCATGAATTTAAATTTCTTTTTTTTTTTTTTTTCGTTTTTATCGCTACCAGGGATCGAACTCACGACTGCCTGCTTGCAAGGCAGGTGCTTTTAAATTTCTACGTTCCTTTTGTTGTTGCTTTTAAGATAAGGTCTTGATATGTACCCCATGCTGGCCCTAAACTTGTGGTGATCCTCCTGTGTCAGCATCCCAAGTGTGGGTGTTAGAGTTTTCTGGCACAATAGAGAAACAGAAGAAAAGAGAAAGTGAAATTGGCCTTTTATTTGAGAACTCAGGAGAAGGGCTCACAACCTGAGGGGGTTTGACTTTCTCCCCCAAGAACCATCAGGTACAGAGGGGCAGTGGGTTACATGACCTCTGATCGGAAGTGGCACAGGGGGCGGGCATTTATGACGTGTGAGGAATTTATTGGAATTTTCTTCATGCACAAATGGGTTGAAGGGGAAGAAGGAAGGCATGGCTATCAGGGTAAGTACAGTAATTTATACTAGAGCAAGAACCTTTCACTGGGATTACAGGCGTGTGCCACCATGTCTGGCAAGTTTCTACACTTCTGCAATCCTTTAGATCAGCATGTCTAACAGGAATACAATGAGAATTACATATATATTTAAAATTCCCTAGCAGCAGTATTTAAAACAGTAAAAGGAATGAAATTGTTTTAATTTTTAATATTATTAAATTAATAATTATATATATATATATATATATATTTGTCTTTTTCATTTTTATCAGTACTGGGGATCAAACTCATGACCGCCTGCTTGCAAGGCAGGTGCTTATGCCGCTGAGCTAAATCCCCAACCCCAATAATATTCTATTTAATCAAATATGCCCCCAAAAGATCCTTTGAACATGTAAGCAATATAAAAATTACTAACAAGTTATTTGACATCCTGTTTTTTAAAATTTATTTAAAGAGAAAAACAAAACTAAACGAAGCAAAAACAGTAAAAGGCTAGAAGTAATACAGAATTTCAAGAGAAAAAATATACAGTAAGAATTCACCAGTTAATAGATCACCATTGTCATCTCAGAAACAGTTGTCCAGATTACAAAATTAAAGCATACAAAGTGGACATTAATACAGTGAGATTGCAGACAGTTCTGTTCAATAATCCAACAAAAACTCAGCAATATGGTTCTCTATCCTACACATTTAAATATACTTGCAGTTATATCCTTTAGATCACTTTTCTTCCTCTCTTTTTTACACTAACAATCACACATTTTGGTTTCTATTACTCCCACAGTTCTTATAACTTTTTCTTTGAAGAGGTAAAAGCAAAAGGATAAAAAAAACCCCAAAAACAAAACAAGACAGACCAAAGAAAAATCCAATGTGACAAAGCAAAACAGAGTCAGTTAGAACAGGAGGATGGACATAGTATATAATGAAAAAAAAAAAAAAGATTACTAGGTGATCAACAATGGTTACCATTATGCCTCTTGTTATCCTAAAAAGAGTTGCCTATATCAGCTGGTATAAAAGAATTGAACGAAACAGTACAGAAGACCAATAAAACCCACATTGGAGAGCTTACAGGACTTCTAAAGAAGATAATAGTCAAACGATAACGGGAATCATAGAATATCTGGTTGCCTTCCAAATGGTTGCCTATGCCCTCAAACTTGATACTATTAAGCAAAACAGAATATAATAAAATCACATTTTTATTATCATTAAACAGAACTGTCTGCAATCTCACTGTATTAATGTCCACTTTGTATGCTTTAATTTTGTAATCTGAACAACTGTTTCTGAGATGACAAGATGTGGAGAACAATACAGGGGTTCAAATCAGCTTAATAGGGAAACAAAAAAGTTACTATAATATATCGCACTATTTTTAATTTAGTTTTCCCTTCGTTAAAAGATACTAAGAAATAAATTAATTTTAAAAAGGGGGGGAGATTGAGATAAAAAAATAACATATCAATAGAACAACACTGGTCAGAACCGAAAAATTTAAGCATCATTGTGTTTCACCACCAGCTAGCCTGACATTGATAGTTGTTACCATCGTGACTCTTTCCTTGAAATATTTGAGTCTAACTTCGCATACTATAGCATTAAACTTATCAAGACAGTGTGAAACCGTTCAAGAGAAAGAAATTATTGCAGGGTATTTAGAACCAGCTAACAGAAACCGAACATCAGTTTCTATATTATCTCTTTGCCTATAAAAATTTGCTTATACTATTGCATACATTAAAATATAATAAGATACATCATGTTAGAACCAATGGAAACAGATGAACAACAACTTGATGGGGCTTCAAAACAAGATGATATTAAATCAGCACTAGCTATTATGTTGTCTTATTTTCTTCAAAATAGTTATTTGTAGTATCACAGACAATAAAATAAAACAACCCAGATTAAAACCATTCCAATTAATGAGTGAAAACATTATATGGCTTCAAACCAGTGTGACTGGGAATCATGATTACTATGTACTTTTATGTGTTCTTATCGTTTCTTACACTAGGGAAACTATTCGGTATTTATACGTGTGAGTTTGATTTATTTCACTTATGAGTATGGTCTCAAGCTGCTTGACATCCTGTTTTTCATACTAAGTCTTTGAAATGGTATATAGCATTTTTTTTTAAATCGGTACCAGGGATTGAACTCATGACCGACTGCTTGCAAGGCAGGTGCTTATGCCACTGAGCTAAATCCCCAGCCCCGGTATATAGCATTTTACTGTTACAGAACATTTCAATTGAGGATCAAATTTTTATCAAAAATACTTGGGATCTGTATTCATATTCTATTAAATTTGTGATTATATATGACAGCTTTTTAAAAAACCTAACTTTTGCTGGGCATGGTGGCATATGCTAGTAATTCCAGCACTCAGAAGGCTGAGGCAGGAGGATCATTGTGAGTTTGAGACTAGTTTGGGCTACAAAGTGAGTTCAAGGCCAGCCTGAACTGCATAGTGAAACATCATCTCAAAAAGATGAAAAGAGAAAAAAACTTTTTTTCAACTATA